TTTTTTTTTTGGCTCCACTGCAACTTCTATGAGGCACTGCCTTCACCAGTGACCAATTCTGGCATGCTATTCATGTTTGTGTGGTAACAAAAAAGATCCTCTTTTATGTTCAGCCCCTTTTTAGTGGCTAAATTTAGCGTCACCGCTTTTCTAGGTGGAGTGGGAATTGGTCCTCCATGAAAGGAGTAACAATGTTTAATGTAAGGCTGCCTCCAAATTGCAAAATATCCTGAGAAAATGAGGCCTTAATAAATCAACGTCAACACCCTTGTCTGTGTCAGGTGGGCAAATTTGTCAAGATTGAAATGCATTTATGTGTTGGAGGTGGGTTAAGAAGTTGGAGTCAAACCTTTTGCCTTTATATTACCATTATTTTGCCCAAATACATCTTTTTTGTGTAAGCAGAAAAGAGTAGTTAGTTGAGTTAACTAGTTTTTTGTCTACTTCATCAACCACTCAGTAAGTCACTTTGTGTGGATCCTTAATTTTCACTGAGCCAAAGAGTAAAAAAGGCGGCGAGAGGAGCGGGCGGGTAAGCCGAAGGACTGCTCAAAAATGACATTTATTGCAGGCATAAAAATAGCTTTTGGTCTTATTCATGGCCACAACTCCAAAGTGGTCGTATTTTGGTTGGGAATGGGGAATAAAAGCTAAACCGCTGGTTCTAGGGCCTTTTAAATTAGGCTGTGCTTCCAGGTTCCACCCCTTAAATCACCCTTCCTCGTATCCCTCAGACAGCCGACGTCCTTTGCATGCATTTTTCCACTCCTCGGCTCAGGCAGGAGGGGAAGATGAATGCCTTCCCCTTTCCCCCCTCCCTTTTGGCTGCCCTGCCCTCCTCTTCCTCTACATCAGGCGTTTGTTGATTTCACTTTTCACTACCTCATGAAGTCCGCACACCACATCAGTTTCCCTGGTTAATTCAAAGGTTTTCGCGTTTTCGTAAGAGGCCAAATGCCTTTCGCATTTTGCCATTCGACTGTCATAATTTCGTTGGTGATTTGTTCTTTACGGAGGGGTAAGGGAAGGAAAGCCTTGCACTATTTTCGATGCCGACTAGCTGTACCAAGTTGTCAGTTTTCCATTGTAAACTGTCTGTTTTTTTCGGGGGGTGGGGAGGAGGGGAGGGGAGGGGAGGGGAGAGGGGTAATACTTTGCATGACATTCATCAGTCCATAGCTG